TTGCATTCTAAACCTTACTTTTGATGGTGTAGTAAAAGGTTTTGTTTCCTGGTGAAGAGAGGGTATCCTAGAATCACTGTAGGAAGTCCAACTCAGTAAAGTTGAAGTTGAGATTTACTCAGGGAATCCTCCAGTCCACAAATTCAGTTAAGCCTCTCGGGTACCTTGGGTGGTTGTGAAGGACAGAACCCTGGTGGAGCGTCTGGGGGCAGTGCTGAGTCTGGTTGAAGGGCTTCCAATGAGTCAGACCTAAGCAAACATTACCTTCCTCCAGTCAAAGGTGATTAAACTTGTCACTTCGTTGAAACAATACTAACCCAATTGGGGTAACTAATTCATCAGGGGTATTCAGACATTCAGGAATTCATGGTTTATTGACCACTGAATGTCATGTCTAGGTATTTGGCTTCCACAAAGCATAAAAAAACCCCAAAACTTTCCTTGAGAAGGCAGTATGGACTTTGCCTCAAACAGAAAGAACCAGATACTGGCATCTCACTGCCACGCAATCCCAAAGTAAGTACCACATTTAGCACCTTACACACCTTCTACCTTATTCAACACTATGGGCTGCTTCCAAGAAGTTTTATCTTCAATCTCATTGGGGATCTGGGATGGAAGACTTCCAAGGCCAGAGAAATGACTGTTCCCAGTTTACTGGAATCTCAAGCACAGAATGTGAGTACCCGTCAAGTGCCTGTGGTGGAATCGCTTGCCAATCTGATATGAGAACTCAGGCGCCCCCAGTGCCCAGATTCAAATTACTAGACTGTCCCCTTCCAAAAACAGCAAATCCCCAGACATCTCTAGCACTCCCTGAGGTTGCAAAACACAGGCCACCGAGGTCAAATAAGTACTCCTTCTACACATCTTCTCCCCCGAGAAGCCTTTCTTTTCTCCCAACAATTGATGATCAGGGATTTCCTAGTAAAAAGTGGAGGAGGGGTTCTGCACGCTTGGGCCAATCCTCTGGTGTTTTCATCCTGTGAATTTTCTCAAAGTATTTATAGATGATAGTGAGAGGCCATACACATCTCTGACATTATTTTTCATATTTTCACACGTAAGCATGACGAGCTGCAGACATGTCATGAGACCAAGGTTCTTGGCTTTTGCAGCTCTGGCGCTGGCTCTCCCACTGTGGAGTAATAATGCTGAGAGCTCGAGTTGCACATGCACTTACTCTAGGTTGGGTATGGTGTTTATGTACTTATCTCATGTCTTGTTCAAAATCAAGCAGCTAATAATTGGTGGTGCCTGGTTCAAACTGAGGTCTTTGGGATTACAAAGTATATGTTCTTACCTCCTGCACTATATGGCACTGCTAAAATGCCGCACTAGGCTGCAGGTGTGTATGTATGTGTGTATGTATATTCTATGTGTATATGTCATATATATATGTACTGGGTGTATGTAAGTATGGATATATGCATGCAGTGTTTCATTTTGACCCATGAAAAACTTGAAGCGGCTTAGAGTTTTTACACGTCCTAAGTAATTTCTGATTTGGAAGGTGACTATATACATGAGAGTAATGTGACTTGAAAACGAAATGTGGATCGGAATGTGGGGCAAAAGGTCAATGACGAGGCTGAAGTGTGTTCTCTGTGTCTAAAAGACTCCATCTCCATCTTTTTTTTTTTTTTTTTGGTAGTTTCCATACTGTCTGACCTATAGATACTGAATTTTTGAAAGCCCGCATCAAAGGGAGGGTTACCTATGAATATTTGCTGTACCTCACGAACACGATCCTCCTCACGTCTTTTGCACTGTCATCCTATTGCCTAGAAACATGTCCTGTGACCAGCGAAAATGATTGAACCTCAGTCTTCTGGAGGCACTTGGTTTCCATGTGCTTATAAAATTATTTTAAGTCCGCAATGGAAATACTCTTTAAGGACTGCGTACTGAAAAACTAAAGAAAATGTATTCAAATGAGAGATCAGAGCTGCTCCTTTCCCTCCAGGCTCCCTGTGGAGTACAAAACAAAATCCACTGTGACCAAAACAACCATGTACATCTTGGCAGCATGGGGCGATGTCATCAAAACTCTATCATGTCGATTCCACAGTGGTTCAACAGGCACCACTGTAGAATGTTTGGCTTCTCCAGGCTCAGTGGGGAGAAGCAGCTGTTGCCCTCTTCCAGATAAAGTGACATATTCAGGAAGAACAGAGTCCTAATTAGATAGAAATTAGTTCCCCTTGCCACTCAGCCCACTCAAAAACAAAAGCACGGCTAGGAAACTTCAAAATGTAAGAAAAAAAGATCAGATCCATTTCAGATACAGCAATTGTGTCAGTTCCATAGAATACATCTTTCTCCTGCTGCACAAGTATCAGAAAAAACACTTGTAAAACCTGTAACATATGCCATGAACTCCTATCTTTGCATTCAGATGTTTTGTGAATACGTTTACATAAAATGCACGAACGAAAATGTCACAGCTTTGGTGTACTAGAGTTTACTTAATATCCAAAGCATCTTGAATGTATTTACACAAAAATACATTAATGAAAATGTCAATGCTTTAGTTACTGAATATCTGAAATATAAAGCAGATTTACATCCCCAGTACTAGTTTTTATTGATTTAGAGCAATGCTTACAGGTAACAATGTATTTAGCCACAACTAGGAGAGAAATAGAGGGAATCATGCAATACTATACACAAAAGATAATAGTTTGAATTAAATAAATAAATAATTTGCAGTTTCATTTATATAAAATATATCCTCTAGGGAATACAGGAGGTTAAAACTAGAGCTCTAATTGCACAGTTTTGTTTTTTTTTTTTTTTCAGGCTTATTTATACTCTTTGAAAGACAACTAAAGCTAAAAATAATTTGAAAAATTCACAAACCAGTCAGGCATTACTGTTGAAAGAATACGGTAACTCTAAAGACAGACATAAATTTAAGAAAGATATATTATTAAAATCTAAGAAACAAATCTCAATAATTACATGATTAAGGTTACATAGCCAATTCAGAGACTCAAAACTATCATTTTACCATGATAGTGATGAGGTCACTGATTATTTTTGTCTGGGACTTATACAAAAATCTACTCCTTCAGCATATTCAACAAATAATTATCAAACGTTCTCTGTGCTCTAGGGAATGTGTTTGGCTCTAAGAAAACACTGGAAAACAAAACAGACATAGACCCTGCTCTGATAGAGCTTTCAGTCTAGTGGGGCAGACAGATGTGAACACAGCCACCTGTAATACAGCCTGAAAAGTGCTCTGCTGTGGCCTTCCGTCCTATGGGAAGGATGATCTAAGCTGAGACCTATAGGGTGAGAGGGGAAGAAGGAGATGGAAAGAGATTCTAGGCACAGAGAGAAAAAAAATGCAAAAACTTTGAGGTATAAGAGCGCATAGTCTATTTCTACAACAATGGTTCCCAAAGGACCTCAGATATTTGTTGGGCCACAATGACATTTTCAGCCATCAACAGGGAAATGAAGGCGGCGTGTTAAATATTTTAAAAGCTAAAGTCATTCAATTTTAATAATTGTGTTTAAAGCCGACTGATCTGGCATTAAAATGGCCCCTCTTTTATAAAATGACAGTGATAGTAGATGATAGATTTTTTTTAAAGTAGAGGACCCTATTTTTGAAACTATGGGTATGTAAAATCTAAAAATCTGGAATCACTGTTCAAAGAATAAACTTTAAAAGGTGTTTAATATGGTTAAAAGAGAGGAGTAAGGGAGAAGTCAAGAGATAAGACTAAGGAGGAAGGCAGAGATTTCGAATGGGAAGGGCCAGGAAGACCTCTGGACTTTATCCTAAGAGCAATGGGAATGATTTTAAGCAGGGGCGTGAAACTCTATTTAGATTTCCAATAGATCATTCTGGGATGTTGTGTGTAGAACGTATGTTGGATAGAACAAGACAGCAGGAAGAGGAGGCCAGCTAGATAGCACTACAGTATCCCACGAAAAAGGAAAGAATAGCTAGAATTAGACGATATCTTCAAGGGACAAACTTAGCAGGAACTGGCGATTCATTATATTGGGTAAGAAAAATGGGATGGTCAAGGCTGATGTCCAGGCTTTTCCTTAGGAAACGGAACTGATGATAATCAGGCTTAACTGCTGAGCTAGAGGATGTAGGAAAAGAGCCCTTTTGTGGAGGAAGGTAGTGAACTCATTTGGGGATATGTTGAATTTGAGGTTTCTCTGTCTTGAAAAGTCCATTAGAACACTTGTGTACAGAGCGGAGAGAAAGAGTTGAACTTCAGACAAAAATGTTCTACGTCAATAGTTAGAGTTAGTTATTAAAACCATAGGCATTGATGACTGATGACATTCCTCCCGGACAGGGCTTCGGACATACTAGACAAAGTGGCCATCCAGGGAGCGGGGGAGAGGGGTGGAGAAGAGAAGGGGGGGAGCGGGAGAGGGGGTGGGGGAGAGGGAGTGGGGAAGAAGGCCAAGAGAGCAAGGTGTCTTGAAAACTAAGAGAAAACCATTTCAAGGAGAGAGCAGACCAGTGCCAGATGCTGCGGGAATCAGTTGAAAGGACTGAAGAATACTCATTGAAATTAGCAACAAGGCAGTTGTTAAAGACCTTGAGAAAGGCAGTGGGGAGCCCAGGCCAGATTATAGAGTGTGCATCTGCAGGCAGGAAAGAGCTCTTTTATGCAGTGAGGGTATAAAAGAAAGGAGAGAGCCAGCAACTGTCTGGAGATGTGGGTTTAAGAAAGTGGTTCTTTGTTTGTTTTATAAACACAGGAGAGATGGATATTGTAGGAAACACTTGATAGGGAGAATTTGAAGACTTGTTGGAGGTGAAGATAATGAAAAGAAATTCACATACCAAATATTGATCAGCTCAAAAACATCACAATGTAAAGTTTCTAAAGATGTAAAGTACCGTGTCCCCATAAGAACACGCTATCATCGTTAATGGATTCAAACACACCTAAGAATGTAAAATGATTCCAAGAGGTTCTGAAGGAATCCCATTTTAAACTATTTTTAAAGTCACATTAAAAATATTATTTTTAAAATTATGGCAATTTTAGCTCTTGCCCATAGAGATCATACTCTTTAAATAATAGATATCTTCGAATGGTTGGTGGTAGAGGGAGCTTCTCCAGTGAGGATGGCTGGCAGAGTCGCTGCAGTCCCATAAGTCTTCGAATTTTTAGCCGACACAAATGCTTTAATGAGCAAGGATTCTCTAAAATCATGGGAAAAAAAAACAAGCAAAAAATAAAAACAATATCGTAGATTGACTTGTAAGTTACCTACTGTTTTAGAATAACATTAGTAGTGTCATTGTAAAAATCAGATATGTATACATTTAGCAACTGACAATTTTAAAAGAAATTCAGGGGCGCCTGGGTGGCTTAGTCGGTTAAGCGTCCGACTTTCACTTAGGTCATGATCTCGCGGTTCGTGGGTTCGAGCCCCGCGTCGGGCTCTGTGCTGACTGCCAGCTCAGAGCCTGGAGCCTGTTTCAGTCTGTGACTCCCTCTCTCTCTGACCCTCCCCTGCTCACGCTGTCTCTCCCTCTATCTCCTAGAAATAAATAAAATATATATATTTAAAAAAAAAAAAAAAAAAAAGAAATTCAAAGTGTGATTAAGCATCCCTGACACTACTTCAGAATGCAGTCTCCATGAAGACAAACACTCAGCCTGTCTCCATGTCAGGAAGACAGTCTGGCTCATAGTGGGTGTCGAGCCAGAACACGTTAAATGAATGAATGGAATTGGCTTAAGAAAGCAAATGCTGCGCATGGGTTGTTCAGTTGGTTAAGTGTCCAACTCTTGATTTCTGCTCAGGTCGTGACCTCACAGTTGTGAGATCGAGCTCGCGATTAAATGATTCCGTGTGTCTGTAATTCAATCTTAGGTTTGTTTCAGTTTCTGATACTTAAACATTCTGTATTTTTTAAAAAAATCTAACATCACTTAAATATCCGATATTAGTCTTTATTTTCATCTCTTACTTTATCTATATTACAACACTGATATATTGTCCCGGCGGATAATGTGAAAAGGCAGCGGAGCACCGGGTTTTAGCTGTGGGCTTTGGACTGTTGGTGTAGATTTAAATCGTGGCTCTGCCACTTAGTATCTGTGTGACCTTGAACTTAACCTCTGTGATCTCAGTATTCTCACCTGTGAAATGTGGATAACAACGGGACCTACCTGATAGGGTGTTTGAAGCTCAAACAAATTAATTTATGTAAAGTATTAGAAAACTGCTTGGTACTTTGTAACCACTCAGTAATATGAACTATCACTCAGTTCAGGAATAAATGATATCACATTTCCATTACCTTTGTGATTATCTTCTTAAAAAATTAAAACAGTGATTTTCAAAAACTATGGAGGCAAAATTATTATTACCCAAATAGGCAAAATAAGCCCATTTTTAAAAGAAAGGAATTACATTTTATTTTCTTCTTTAACAAATACACCGCCTCACATATGTCTGGAGGAATCCTGACATCCAGTGGTTAACCACGCTCACAGCATTCAACTGACTTCCACTCCAGCTGCATTAATGTATGACTGAAACAGCAAAACACCTTCTTGGTCTTCCTCCTTGATTTCCTTTCTAAAGTCAACAGAATTGTTACTCTTTTGTAATAAAAACACATGGACAATTAGCAGTTAGAAGCGAACTCTGTTCTGCCTATGACAGGAAGCACAGTGGTGTTGGAGAGAGTGGTTTGAGGTAAGACAGACAAGGGTTCGAATCTTGGCTTCGTTTTCCAGGTCTATAACCTCTTACAATCTCCAAACTGTTTTAACCTCTTTATTATAAAAATAAAATATAAAGTAACTACACACGTATAGCTTTATGAGTCATTATTAGTGATTACAAGATGAGTATCTTTAATTACCTCCCAGGTCATGAATAGAAGAATTTCCCCAGCTGCCCTAGGATTTCCTCCATAATCCATTGCAATCTTTATTCCTTTCTCCCCCATGTTACCACTATTCTGACTTTTATGGTAATCACTTCCTTTATTATTTATTTATTCTTTTAAGTCATCTCTGCACCCAATATGGGGCCTGAACTTAACAACCCGAGATCAAGAGTTGCACATTCCACTGACTGAACCAACCAGGTGCCCCCGGAATCACTTACTTTAGAGCTTCATCATCTAAGTGTACTATCCCTGTGCTATTGTATTCACAATATTTTTTAAAAAATGATATGATCTTTAAGTCTTTTTTAATCCTTCCTCTTCTCTTTCCTTCAATTAATCTCTGAAGAACCAGAAAGCCCTGCAGTTTCCCACAGCTTAAATTTTGCTGATTGCATTTTCATGGTGCAGGTCTGTGCTTTCCCGCCATCTATTTCTAGCAAATTGATAGCCAGATACAGAGACTTGAGCTGACTCAGGTTTGATCTCCTTGGCAAAACTACACCTGGTGCTGTGTTCTTTCATCAATGGCACATAATGAGATAGTGGGAACAATTGATGTTCAGTGACTAAATCCGTTAGCTGACTGGGGACTGCAAAATGGTGACATCTAGTTATATCATTTCGTTTTCACTTCTTATTTGAAATATTTTGACAAAGAGACACTTTTGCTCCTCTTCTTTGTGGTTACTAGTGACACAAATCACATAGGTAAGGCAGAATAAACGCTTAGATCTTTTCCTTTATAAGTTTTCAAGCTAATGAGTTGATTTTATCTTCTGGAGCTGACCAATTTTTAAAATATCGTATTTTAGCATACTTGGTTTCGATGTATTGATATAATTACCCTTTGGAAGCTTCATTGTCCCATCTTCGGCCAGTAGGATCCTCTTCAAGTTGGCTCCTGGATTCTTTTGGCCTGCTCTTGTAGGCTTTGAGCATTTCTTTGCAATGTGGAATGACAGACATTCCAGGCTCGTCCTGGACATTGCTTCCTGAAACCTGAAATCATCCATTTCCTTTTCTAGGAAATGGTATTTCAAGACCACAGCCTGCTAGGGATGTTCGATGCTACTCAGTTTGTCTTTGTTTCTAAGCCTTTTTTGTAGACGCATACACACACACACACCTCAGGTAAAATAGCTTGAGTTCAAATTGATTCTTCCAATTCAAGTTCAAGACTAAAAGATGTTTTTCTTCTTACCATCTTACATCTGTATTTCCTTTCTTCCACACAGATAATCTGGTTCTCAAGGATACAAAGAATAATAGAGTTAGACTATCCCATAATCACTCACTTACTGAATGAGTCTCATTCTCAAGTAATAGTGTTAATATTATGCCACCATCATGTAATTTGATATCTTTAAAAAATGTTTTTGTGGCTCAGTTGGTTGGATGTCCCACTTCGGCTCAGCTCATGATCTCATGGTTCGTGAGTAAAAGCCCGGCGTTGGGCTCTGTGCTGACAGCTTGGAGCCTAGAGCCTGCTGTGGATTCTGTGTTTCCCTCTCCTCTCTCTCTGTCCCTCCCATGCTCATACTCTGTTTCTCTCTCTCTCTGTCTCTCTCTCTCAAAAATAAATAAACATTGAAAAAATAAAAATAAACATAAAAGATATTTTTGTGTAGGGTTGCCTGGTTGGCCTGGTCAGTGGAGTATGTAACTCTTGGTCTCAGGGTTAGTTCAAGCCCTACATAGAGTGAAGACATTACTTAAAAATAAAATCTTTAAATAAGTTTTTGTGTGTGCTTTGTTTTTATTTATTTATTTATTTATTTATTTATTTATTTATTTATTTATTATTTTTGAGAGAGAGAGACAGAGTTGAGTTGGGGAGGGACAGAGAGAGGTTAGACACAGAGTCCGGAGCAGGCTCCAGGGCTCTGAGCTGTCAGCACAGAGCCCAAAGCTGGGCTTGACTTCATGAACCGTGAAATCATAACCAAAGCTGGACGCTCAACCGACTGAGCCACCCAGGCACCCTTGCTCTCTCCAATTTAAAATAGTTGTGTCAGGGGTGCCTGGGTGACTCAGTCACTTAAGCGTCTGACTTCGACTCAGGTCATGATCTCACGGTTACTGAGTTCAAGCCCTGCGTCAGGCTCTGTGCTGACAGCTCAGATCACAGACCCTGCTTCAGATTCTGTGTCTTCCCCTCTCTCTTACCCTCCCCTGCTAGCACACACACACACACACACACACACACACACACACTCTGTCTCTCTCTCTCTCTCTGTGTCAAGAATAAATAAACATTAAAAATTTAAAATAAATAAATAAATAGTTGTGTCATACCCTCTTTATCTGACCATGCAGCCCTACATATTATATCTTCTCCCTTTTAACTCCCTTTTAACTTGGTGTTCTGTCTAATGCTCAGTACTAGTCCTTCTGTCAGTCCCTCTCCTCATTTTGGTTTATCTGAAGCTCATTTCCTAGTGTTTCTTCAGAAGACAATCAGAGAAACCATATTACCTGAGAAAATCTGCTTTTTCCCCCATAAGTCAATTGTTTTTGCCCACATGACCAAAGAATATAGTAATTTGTAGTTTTGTCTTCTCTTTTTATCATAGATTTTTTTTTTTTGTAAAATAAGTTTTTGTATTTGTTCTGTTCCCTCAAAGAGAACATTTGTTGGTTTTCCTTTTCAAGGAACCCTATTATTCTTTTCCTTACTCTTAATCGCCTGTCTTTAATATCTGTCACTGCCTTTCAAATGCTTTGGTTTATTCCTTTATTTCTGTTTTATTCAAAAATGTTTCTTCTGTTTCAGCTTCTGTTTCTCTGAAGGTATTATCTACTGCTTTATTAGTTCTTGCTTTCATTCTGGTTCAGCCTTTGAATTTGAAATTATTTTTTTAAAAAAGAAATTATTTTTTTCTTTTTCTGTCTAGTTCCTTCCTCAGTTCTATTATCTCATTTCTGAATTTTTGTAATTCAGAAATTGTGTGGTTCTTTCATGTCTTGTATCATTTTCCTTATGTGATTTAGCCTGTTTTGAAATTAAGTTTTTAGTTTTCATCTGTTCTGAGGGTGTCCTTTCCTAGTGTGCTTTCTTGTCTGTGAGGATATTATTCTGTTCCTCTTCCTGCTTTTTCTTATAATAAATTTATATGAAACTTGACTGTGATAATTTTCTGTTACTCATTTTGATGTGACATTAGTTTTCCTGAAGTTTTAGAAAGATGCTTGGTCCAAGGTAGCTCTTCTGACTTTACAGAATTCCCTATTCTATTGTCTTCTTGCAATGATCTCAAATAGTGGCTTGCTCCTGAAGTTTCCTGGTTCTGTTTGCTGCCCCTCCTTTTATCTGGAGTTTCTCATGGCTCTGTCCTACTTGATTTTGATTTTATTCCCAATGTGGGGTATGGTTCAGAAAGGGAGACTTAACAGGTCAGTTTCAAGAATTTATAGGGTCCAAGAGGTGCCTGGCTGCTCAGTTGGTGGGGCATGTGACTCTTGATCTTGGGATCATGAGTTCAAGTCCCATGTTAGGCATAGAGCTTACTTAATAAAAATAAAATAAAATAAAATAAAATAAAAGATTGGTTTCCAAACTTTAGTGAGCTTCAGAATGACTTAACATCTTTAAAAAAAGAGAATTTATAGGATCGAGACTGTTTTGTAATTGCCCTTAGCCTTAGGCTGTATTTATAATATGATTCACTTTTATTATGAACTAAATTTTAACTTAGAGAATACAAAATGATCTGCGTATAAGACAAACTTTTGATAGGAATTTGTCAATAAAGACCTGAGAGAGAGCATATCCAAAAGAATAACTCTAATTCATTCCATTCATCCATTTACTCAGTATTTATTATTTACTACTCACTAGGTATCATGCTAAGCCTTGAGAATACAAAAATAAACAGATGCCTGCCGACATGGAGATTAGAGTCTATATATCTTATGGTCTTATAGAAGTTTTTTTAAATGAGTTTGTCAAATGTTAATATAGTCATATTATTACTCATTATACAATGAAAGATTTGGAAAGTGTTAAAAATAGCAAAAAACTTAGCATCCCATATCAGAGGAAGTATTAAGGAAGATTTTTAAAAACCTGGATGATTCTGAAAATAAAGTAGCATAGAAAAAGAATCAAATATGACATTAAGAAACTTCCCCTGTATACATTCTGCATAAAAAAAATTATAGACAAAACTTTTTTTTTTTTTTTTACCTAGTATTTGACGGATTTCTGGCCATTCTCTCTGTACTTCTAGTGCAGACTTCAGCTTAGCACACAGAGGGATATAATCCATGTAATCAATTAATACACGAATAACGCTGCCTACCAAATGTTTCATCCAAGGAACTGTAATGAACTCACAGAACTGAGAGAATTGATAAAATTTAATTTAGTAATAAATTTAATATAGTATATACACAAGCACTCAATTTTGTTATGAAAAGTTACTATCATTGTCTTCTTACAGAAAATATAAGTACCTTCCTTGTAATGAACAAAAAAGAAAAATAAATTGTTTGCTTTTATCTGGGAAACTATGAGCCCTGACGCTATATGCATGACTTTGATGTGATAGCAGTCAACTTAGCATGGAAGAATCAGGTTGCTTTCCATGATTCTTCTCTCCATGTTTCCATTCCCAATTTTCCACCAAATAAGCATAAATTATTAGTTGCATACATTTTCACATTCATCTACATTCAGTTTCCAATTTTAGAAAAACAACCTTTTTTGCCTCATTTTATGCTTATATCCCCATATTATTGCAAGCAAAAATCCAAGAAAAAGAAAAATATAAGAGAGTGATTTTTCTTTTCTTGTGATATCTCTAAATGAGCAAAAGTTAGGATGATGACCCAGTAGGAAGAAGAAAAGAATGTAACTCACCGGGTTATCTTTTATTACACAAGATGTCCACCCCGGTAGTACCTCTTCTTCTATCTCTGACCACACAAATGAATTTCCAAAGATGTTCCCATGCATGCAGTCAAAGCACATCTCCACTTGGTAGCCATTATTCAGCAACAGCCTCAGCATTACCTCATCATTTAGGGCATATTGAATGGCACTGGGGAAACGTGTGTCATTCACATGCATGAAATAACAATTGACGTTAGCTCCATGGGAGAGAAGCAGCCGGACAATTTCATGGTTATTGGCCCTCACTGCCACGAGTAGACAGTTGAGGGGATCTAGGTTTGGGTCTGCACCTGCAGCCAGAAGGACTTCCGTGCACTGGATATCATTGTTAGAAACAGCAAAATAGAGTGCGGTCTTCCGCTCGTCATCATAGCTCTCGGAAATGTGGTCAGCGAGCCGGGTATTGACATCAAAGCCATTTTCAATAAGCAGCTCTAGGCACTGTACGTTTTGTCCGTCTGCTGCTGAGTGAATTGGTGTTAGCCCACTTTTCTGGATTGCATGTTTGGATGTTACTGGGATAAGATACTTCAGCGCACTAAAAAAAAAAAAAAAAAAAAAAAAAAGTCAAATATCCACATGGCAGGAAGAAAATGAAGAATTTTAATAAACCAGTTTCCTCACTAGACAAGCGAATACAGCCTGTTTAGCTTCTTTTCTTGTCTCTAGATAACCTCATACAAAAACATTTAACATTTCACTTTTGCCCACTGGCTTACTGCTCAGTTTAGTGTAATTCAGTTTTGTTTTTAGTTTCCCATTCTAAATATTCCCGGGGAACATGCTTGATGTCCTATGTTTGGTCCTAGAATTGTGGTTCTTCAGGAATGCTCTCTGTCTTCCAATTCTCTTGGGAACAACGTACTACTTATAAACAACCAAAACTCTTTAACGAAAAAAATATAAAAGAAAGATAAGCTCATCTGATGCCATAGAAGAATGTTTTATAATCTTGACCTTGAGAATTATGGAGTCACAGGACATGACCTTGAACATTGCTTAGTCCAACCCCTCATTCAACAGAAGAGCAACAGAAGTCTGGAGAGGTGAAATGACAGTCCATGGTCACACATGGACTGTGGAGCAAGGACTAGAGTTCAGGCCTTTTGAATTCTCATTCGTTCCTTCTCTCTCACTTCTTTCTGAGCAGTCTATGCTTTAGTAGTGGCCATGCACCTCCCGCCTGCCTCCATATAGCTTGCAATGGAATTAATAGCCACAAAAAAGACTCTTTATTATTCCATCACCCTACATCAGTCCAATGGGGATAACTCACCACAGCTTAGGTTTCTACGAACCTGTGATAAACAGTTGTGAATTTCACACTTGCCTGAACAACTAGACACGCATGAGAGCCACAGCAAGGAGAACTTGATCTCTTGTGCCTAATTCAGAGCTACCATGTGTGAATTTATGAACACTGGGAGTAAATCCAGGTAAACTTTAACAACATGTCACTTAGCATCAATTATGTGTCATTGGCCACTTGACTTAGCCAATGTGGCCACTGAAGGTGCTAAGGCCTAATGATTGCAAAATTTTTGAACTTATAAAATATATTAAATTGCCTAAAACCATCCTCTTATGGTGGGTGGTTTAATTTAGTGATTATAGATTTGTATGGATGTGTTGATTGTGGCACATTTTGTGGTTTAAAAATCTATCCAAACCTTTTCCCCCCACCAGCATAAAGATATCTGACCTTATAATGAAATTTTTCTATTCAAGGGTGAATTTGACATTATATCATAATATCTATAGGTATTAATAAACATTGGAGTAATACTGGTAGTATTGTCACAAAGTCCTTTGTCAAAGGCAAAAGTTTTAGAAACTGTGTTGCTTTTTGTTACACACATTGATAAAACAAAAAACAGAGAGACATATTTGGGTGGTTTGTGCAGAATTCTCAGTTATAACTTATTTCCTTCTAAGAGAAAAAATTTTAATTATAAAAGTGGTGGGGTGCCTGGATGGCTCAGTTAAGTGTCCGGCTTCGGCTCAGATCATGATCTCACGGTTCATGGGTTCGAGCCCCACGTCGGGCTCTGTACTGACAGCGAGCTCAGAGCCTGACGCCTGTTTCAGATTCTGTGTCTCCCTCTCTCTATGACCTTCTCCTGCTCATGCTGTCTGTCTCTCTCAGAAATAAATAAAACATTAGGGGCGCCTGGGTGGCTTAGTCGGTTAAGCGTCCGACTTTCGCTTAGGTCATGATCTCGCGGTTCGTGGGTTCGTGCCCCGCGTCGGGCTCTGTGCTGACTGCCAGCTCAGAGCCTGGAGCCTGTTTCAGTCTGTGACTCCCTCTCTCTCTGACCCTCCCCTGCTCATGCTGTCTTTCTCTCTCTCTCCTAGAAATAAATAAAAACATTTAAAAAAAAAAAAGAAAAGAAAGAAAAAAGAAATAAATAAAACATTAAAAAAACTTAATTATAAAAGTGGTATAAGTTCAATGTTCAAATTCTAGAAAGTTCCAGAACATAAAAAGAAAGGGAAAAATAAAACAGATATTAATATACTCAAAATGTGTGCACAGCGTGTCTTTTTCTTTTCAGATTTTGGGAGGTATTATATAGATTAGGCTTGAGACTCTACTGTTCATACACTTTTGTATTTTTCAACTTAAAATGATCTTATGATTTGTTACTCACAGATAATGTCCCTCGTAAGCAGCTCGGTGTATGGGAAGATGCCCTGCTCTGTTAGGAACATTTCCACTTCCTCCGTATTCCAGCAGGAGGGAAATGCAGTCAGGATTGCCCCCTCCTGCTGCCTCAAACAACACTGATGCCCCATCATCCGCCAAAGCAAACACATCACCACCTGACAATGTAAATAAAACATATGGCAGAGTGATAACTGGAATTATTTGAAATTGTCATGATAGTTGCCTTAATAATAACCTGCTGTTTTCCTTTCTGGCTAGGACTTAAAATTAAAAGTATAGGATTAAGAACAGCTGTGTTCTCAGTATTTTCAATAAACAATTACGCATGCATGTTTCATTTGATTAGAAAATCTTTGCGTGAGAAATCAAGAAGTCAATTTACATGGTAGACAAATACTCCCAGGAAAAGGAGTAGTCTCTTAAATTTAAAGGCAACGTTAACTCTCTATTTCATTTCAACAAGTGCCCTCTGTGTGCTGTGTGTGACCCAGCAGAAGATCCTAAAGTGAAAAAAATGACTACCTTAAGGAGTTCAGAGGGGAAATGAGACAAAATATTATCAAAGAACACAAACTGTATAACATTCAAGTGACTTAGGACTAGAGTCATGATGTAGGAGAAAGAGGTGTTGAGTTCTGGCTCTGCTGCAGACTGAGAGAGTCTGGGGCAAGCTACTTACTTCTAGGAATATCCATCTCCTCATCTGTAAAATACCGCTTATTTCATAGAGTTCATATGATAATTAAATGAGGTTGTGTTGTGAGGGGGCCTCAAAAATGTTAGTCTTTTCTCCACAGAGGATCCTTAGGGGAGTAGATGACCCTAGCCCTTATTTACAAAGGAGGAAAACTGAGAACCAGAAGTTTTAGTAAAGCTAGGCAGAATTGTAGGTCATGATGTATAGGGTGTAATTAAGTTGTGGAAGAGGGGGCTTTCGAGGGGTTTCTCGAGGAGCTGAGTACAAAAGCCTGATGCCCAGTTACATTCAGGAGAGGAAGGGGAGCCAATGAGGAATGGAGAAAAAGAAATTGAGGGACAGGAGAAACATCAAGAATGTGCAATTCCTTTTCACGTACCTCTGTGGATTAAGTGTTCTAACACATCACAGTGACCATACTCAGCAGCAACACCTAACGGTGTGACTCCAAATCCGTCTCTCAGATGGACATTGCCTCCGTGGTTTAGTAGCAGCGCTATGATATCTTTGCGGCCTTGTTTGGCTGCTTCATGCATTGCCGACCATCGCTTGATGCAGGGTTGGTCAAGGCTGGCGTTGTGTTTAAGCAGAGTAAACACCATGTCGTATGAGCCCTGTTTTACAGCTGGAAGATGATTTTAAAAAACTATCAACAGTAGGCATATATTTTTTTAAATGTTTTATTTATTTCTAGGAGACAGAGAGAGAGAGACAGCGTGAGCAGGAGAGGGTCAGAGAGAGAGAGGGAGTCACAGACTGAAACAGGCTCCAGGCTCTGAGCTGGCAGTCAGCACAGAGCCCGACGTGGGGCTCGAACCCACGAACCGCGAGATCATGACCTAAGCGAAAGTCGGACGCTTAACCGACTAAGCCACCCAGGCGCCCCTATCAACAGTAGGCATATTGACGTGGATATTTTAGATGGTATGAAACTAATTACTAATTTATTTTTAATATTTAAAAATGTTTATTTGAGAGAGAGAGAGAACGAGCAGAGAGAAAGGGAGACAGAGGATCCAGAGAGGGCTCTGTGCTGACAGCAGACAGCCTGACGCTGGGCTCGAACTCCCAAACCATGAGATCATGACTTGAGCTGAAGTTGGATGCTTAACTGACTGAGCCACCCAGGCACCCCTAATTACTAAATTTAATATCAAAATAGATATCACCTATTCCCTCTTCTTCTACAAGAAAATACTGTAGTTTTCATACTCCTTCTGTTTCTCATACCCAAGATGATGCTGTCTTTTCTTTAAGACCTTGACCTGAGGAGGTTAAGAGTTTTATGGACACCATGCACATCACTAAAATAGGATGTTATGTATACTCTTTCTAAACTTTAGAAAAAGAAAATAATTGAAATGAAAATAACATTCCTGTTGGGTTGTATAAATTAAATAATGTATGGAAATGCTTAATATATACTAGCAGCTCAATAAATTATAACTATTATTATTAATATAATTTCATCACTTCTAGGATCCTGGAGCCCATGTGTGAATAATGTTTATGAAGTCCCCTCATCACCCCCCAGAAAGACTTTTTTTCCCTCCACCAAAAATAACAGCGAGTATTAAATGAACTTCTGTTTCCCGTGGTCTTAATGGAGGTTAGCAACGAGAAGGTTCAGGATCCAGGTAGGTCCAGTGTTCTAAGTAGGTGAAGCCTATGACAGCTAGTGTACTACAGTGTAAGGGATTCACTGGATCATATGCTGCTCTTCCCCTTTGCTTGTTTTTAATAGATGAGATTACAGGTAAAAAGCTCTGCCAACCCAGCTTTGAATTACTAAGAGATGGTCCCAGTTTAGATATAAATAATTCTATAAGATGTAATGTCTTTTTATCTTATTAGTAANGAAAGCCAGAAAAACTATTATGTATTATATTACTCTCTTATCAAGCCCTTACTATTAAGGTAACCCATATATGTGTGTGTGTGTGTGTGTGTGTGTGTGTATAATTTATATATATATATATAAAACGTGTGTGTATATATATGTACATGTATGTATATGTGTGTGAGTAGCCTTTTAATAATTAAAAAAAAATTTTTTTTAAAAAAAGAAGAGATAAATACAATTACATTCACTCACTCGTTCGTTCATCCATTCATTCATTTATTCAGTTGACATGCTCTGGCTATATGAGAGGCCCTGTGCCGGATCCTGTGGACAACAGGAAAACGATGGGCTTGGTTCTCACTCACGCAATTGACAATTTAGAGAAGAAGCCCGTATTGTCTTCTATTTGAAGAGAGACTCCGAGTCCAGGTCTTTGCTGGGAAAGGCAGGACGGGGGGGTGGGGGGGGGCGCACATAGAACATATTGGGGAGCAAGGGGGCAGAGTGCAGAAAGCACCTAAAGCCGAAACAAGGAAAAGGGCCCTCGAAGGCCTGACGAGAGGAAGAAGGCGTAATGCGGAGGCAGGCGAGCCGTCACTGTGATGAGATTTCAGTTTTTCTCCGGTTCCCTAGAGTCTGTTGCCAAATGCCTTTCTCTGAATCACCCACCTGCCGCTGGCAGCTCTAATCATAGTGAATTACCTCATCCTAGCCCGTGTCATTGCAGAGAAAACATCAATAGGTTAAATGAACTAAGAGGTATGTGTCCTCATTTATCTTCTTGCTCCTATTACATTTTCTTCTAGAAAAAGTGCGTTAAAATAATGAATCTCTCCCATCGTGAACTGTTTTCCTTTTGTCTGACTCAGGAAACATGTTGGTTAGAGATCTTAGTCTTTTTTCATGAGAACAATATCATGCACAGGCCATGTTCCGCTTGAATTATTTTTAAAATAAAACTTTACTTGCAATTTCACTATTTTGGAACTAAGAATATATTTTATTTCGAGTAGAAATAATAATGGGAATCATGGGAGCCCCTCCCAAACTAACCCATGAACACATTCTTAACCAATAAATGGCTCAAATAATGAAAACTAAAATGGCACAGTATTTGTGTAACATAATTAAGTAAAATAAAGCTTAAATAACATATAGTAATATATATATCTTCAACAACAATGCTTAAGAAACAAACTTCAGTTGAAGAGTTAAGGAATTAGAGACTTTTGTATAGATTTATAGTTTGCTGGCACTATTCCTTTTTATCTTAAATTTCTGTAATTTTCTCTTTTTTATGTTTATTTATTTATTTTGAGAGAGAGAGCATGAATGCATGGAGAGAGGCAGAGAGAGAGAGAGATCGAGAGAGAAAATCCCAAGCAGGCTCCCGGCTGTCAGTGCAGAATCTGACTTGGGGCTTGAACTCACAAACTGTGAGATCATGACCTGAGCCGAAACCAAGAGTCAGATGATTAACTGACTGAGCCACCCAGGTGCCTCTAATTTCTGTCATTTTCTTTCCCTTTCTTGATATATGTGTTTTGCTCATGTAATTTTTTTAATTGCACAAGTGATTTATCTTGTGACTTGTAAGACATTCAAACAGGGAAGAGAGATTTTTCTGAGGCTTCTTGACAAGGATTGTCAGATTGAAAGAGGAAAGGCAGTGAAGAGGATGTGTATTGATTTGTGACAAAGAAAGTATCTGAAATAAAATTAACCAAGCCAGAAATGGCATGAGGGTGTGGGCCGGGGAGGGCAGCAGAACTGAGATGTTGTGCTTCATGGTTCCCTGGGCTTCCTCTATTCCTGGGCCCCACTGGCCAAGATAATCTTGTGGCTATCCAACTAGAGAAAGGTGACACCAACTTCAGAGGAGTGAGCAGAGAAAGAGTCTGAGTGCCAAATACCCTCACAAGTGTCAGATGATCACAAAGTAGATATCTGGTCCTCAGCAAGTAACCATGTGATGGATTGCAATACATCAAAGTACCACAAGTAAGGGCCTAATGGCTGATAGCAAAGAGGGGCCCTGGAGGGACCCAACGTGTCTTTTTTTTTTTTTTTTTTTTGGCCATCTAAACATATTCTGTAATAAAGACAAAGACATGGCATCAGGCTAAGAAAAATAAAGATGACATCACACATAAAAATAAAAAGAGCAACATATTTTTCTCGTATCTCTCCCTTTCTTAGTTAATGGACTATGAGTAGCAAATTTCAAAGCAGGCTACAGAGTCAAGAAGAAAGCTGGGAAAGTGCCACGAATGACCATTTTCCCATAGAACCTAAAAATTCTTGACATGGCTTCCACCAAGGTGGTCTTGGAGAAGGTAACCCAAGAAAAATCTTATTCCCCGGGTACATGGATAATGGGGAAATAAGTGAAGATCTTCAGAAAATTTCCCTTCTGAGACTTTTGTATTCTCTTTGGTATTACCATTTAGCCTTTTAATAATTAAAAAAAAAAAATTTTTTATCCGTTTTTGAAAGACAGAAGGAGACAGAATGTGAGTGGGAGAGGGGCAGAGAGTGAAGGAGACACAGAATCTCAAGCTGACTCCAGGCTCCGAGCTGTCAGCACAGAGCTGGCGTGGGGCTCAAACCAATGAACCGTGAGATCATGACCTGAGCTGAAATTGGACACTCAACCAACTGAGCCACCCAGGTCCCCCTTACCATTTAGCTTTTCACAGTATTTCTAAATGTTACTTCTATTTTGACTCTGATAACATAATGATCAACTTCCTTTCCCATACTTCAGATATTGCTGGATTAGAGAAACTAACACATGCAACTCCGAAATACATATAAATACTTAATGCTCTCTTGCAGTATTAAAAGCAAAAAGAAATCAAATGAGGGATAATCATGACTTAGTTGTGCCTTAAGTAAATGAATTAAAGATAGCAAGTATAGAATAATTGTATATTTGCAAAATGAGATAGTATACAAACTCTGAAAAAGTGTGTGCTTTTTTTTTTGTTGCAGAAATCAAAGATCTATAGATATTTATAGAACCGTCTATAGAAACAACAACACATATATGGATGTCATTGCAAAAACCCCATGGCATATGGCTTTAAAAATAGTACAGATCACATTAATAGTGGTGATGTAGCCATAGGTAAAGAGTTCTGGTTTACTTCTAAAAAGCACCAGTTATTGTAACAGATTCCACAACTCTATATCCCTAAGTGACAGTGAATGTTATCTCTGGTCATTTGTAGTTAATCTCATCTCACTTGTACAAACAGACTTGCCACTTTTTCATTGGTCAACAGAAATAGCAGAATACACACATTGAGAAGAAACTGATAAATGACAGCTTTAGGTTTACCATCATTACTTGTGTCAGAGTTGTGAACCTCTTCATAGGTGCCCAGGGCTCCATCTATGTGATCAGAATCTGCCGGTGCTTCATTGTTCTGAGGTGGACCTGGAATCTCTCTTTGAAACCCTCTTTCTGTTTCTTTTTTCTTGCAATCTGCTGCACACGCAACCTTACTTACAACTGGATCCTACCTAGAGGATATTCCTTTAGAACTGACACTTTTTGGGGCACCTGGTTAGCTCAGTCAGCTGGCTCAGGTCATGATCTCACAGTTTGTGAGTTCGAGCCCCTCATGGGGCTCTGTGCTGACAGCTCAGAGCCTGGAGCCTGCTTCAGATTCTGTGTCTTCCTCTCTCTCTGCCCCTTCCCTACTCGCGCTCTGTCTGTCTGCCTCTCTCTAAAGGAAATACACATTAAAAAAAAAAAAAAGAACTGGCACTTCTGGCTTCACAAAACTCCAAGACTGGATCCCTCCTGGTTAGTTGGTGCTGAAGGATCTCTCACACTGGACCTCTTTGCAGGATTAAAAAAAAACACCACCACCACAGGGCAGATAAGACCGGTGTTAGGGAAGGAGCTCAGGGAAGAGAGGGAGCTGAGGTCACATAACTTCAGTACATAGTGGTTTTCAATAAATACTTATTAAATATTTATTTGTCTCAAACTATGAAAGTTTTAGAAAAGAAGGTTATTTACCAATCAGAAGCGGCTTCTCTCCTTTGTCATTTTTGGTGTTTGGCCACACTCCCTTTTCTAATAAAGTTCTTACATTTTCCACCAGACCAGCTTTGACTGCCAAAGTCAGGGGTGTTTCTCCTTCAGAGGTCTTGAACTCCCAGAGTGTCTGGTAGGATGCTGAGATATGAAAGTATTGTATAAAGTTAAAAATCTTTACTTAAAGGATATCACAAAGATCAGAATAATCCAACATTATGTACTTTGGAGTGGACATCGTCAACTGATGACAAGGAAAGATTAAAAGATGTGATTAGAGTTTATCAAAAGATGGTGAGTATACATAGATGAGCATGTACTCAACAGCTAGTAACCAACATCTGCGTTTCAAGGTTGTTGTTTTTTTTTCGTGAATTGCATATTCTTTTTTTTTTTGATAAAGGATCCCCAATCCTTTGTATTGTTATTTCAATTGCAACTGAAATTGATTTTTGTCAAATAAAATCTGTGAGTGTGAGAATGAGAATGTATCCAAATACTGTCAGAAAATGTGAGAAAAGAAATAGCATGTTTAACGTCACCTTCTAGATCTATTTGTCTGTTTAGCTATGTATTTTCTTCTGGCCGGATAGTGAATTATCAAGCAACTAGGATTGTCTCCTAGAGCACAGAATGAGGGAGCGCTCTTGAAGGTTAAAAGACAGGGCACTCACAAGACATTTTAGAAGTTGCTGAGGGGCGCCTGGAGGGCTCAGTTAGTTAAGCATCTGACTTGGGCTCAGATTATGACCTCGCAGTTTGTGAGTTGGAGCCCAGTGTGGGGCTCTGTGCTGACAGCTCAGAGCCTGGAGCCTGCGTCTGATTCTGTGTCTCCTTCTCTCTCTGCCCCTCCTCTGCTCATGTTCTCTCTTTCTCTCTCTCAAAAATAAACATTAAAAAAATAACAATAAAATAAAGTTGCCGAGATGTGACAAATATTATGCTAGAACATCAAAATTACTCTTAATACTTAACCTGGGGTTGATTTGCTGGGATACTGATTCATGTTTCCACCATGACAAAATTAGTATGACTAGTATGAGCACAAAATATTGTAAATATACTTGTTGCATCATAATGATCTTTTGGAAACCGCTAACTCAAGAGATCAAGATGAAAAATTAAAAGCTTACTCCCCAAAGCAAAAAGTTTTATATTTAAATCAATTAATTCATGATATGTATATAAGCTTTTATTACTTTTAGCTTATAGCCACATCTTTGTGCCAACTTGTATCACATCCTTAGAAGGATGCAAAGGGTAAAACCTGAAGCTCACAAAATATGCTGATCCTTATATTCTGAGTGTAAAACATGGATATTCTCTTTCCTATCTTCCAAATAATCTTCTATTCTGCATTTTCTTTTTGCTTTTTATCTTATGGGAAGTCATGGAGCCACTCATAAATTCTGTATTTTTGCTTCGGTTGGGTCAAAGAGATTTGAAGTTCTCTTACCATCCAGAACAACTTCAAGTATTTGTTGAATGGGTTGAACCACAGCTTCATGCAATGGAAACCATCCTTTTTCATCAGCTTCATCCAATGTATATTTATACTTCACATATTCCTGGAGCTCAAGAATGTGACCTAAATTAAACACATGGCTGGTAACAAATCTCTGTCATGGCAATGTGAAATCTCCAACTTGTCCCATTGTAGACAGTATGCCCATTTTACCTTGTTTTATGGCTTCCACAAGTTTTCTGTTTTGATCACTTAGTGGTACAAATCTACCAGAGAAACAAAAGTAAGCCATATTTATCCTAGTGGTGTACTTCAAAACACCCAAAAATTTAGCTTGTATTGAGTTTTTGTGCATCATTTTAATTATCAAGATCTACAGGAAAAGCACGCAACTAATTTTATGTACTGTATTAGCACCGTACTCTAACCAACTGAGATAACCAGCTTCCTTAATTCTATCTACTTTAAGAATGTGAATACTAAGAATCAGACACAGTATATTTATGATACACAAGACCTAGGCACATCAGTACAGATGACAAAGTACAAGATTGTGACGCTGTCTCTGTAATGAGTTCTAAGCAATGAGAAAGGAGTAAACCATTGTAGTCAAGAGAGCTAGGCTCAGCTTTTGTGATTTTGTGATCCTGAAGTAGTGGTTTCTCTGGGTAGTGGTTAGCTTCTCTGGATAGTGGATTCTTTATCTCTAAAATGATGGGATTACATAGGAAGATCTCTAAGGCTTTTTTCCAATTTTAAAAACTCTATGCTGAGTAAATGTTGCTTTGAACTTAATAATTGCTAATTAATAATTGCTTAATTAGGAGCTTATTATCCAACACTGCATGTTAGAGTCTTTCATCAATGGAAATACAAGTGAAAAGAGGTTGAGCACTTACTGAACAAATTCCTAGTCATTGGCCCAACAGGTCATGATTTCAACCCTCATGGCAATTCTCTGGTGTGTGTGTGTTTATTCTAAGGAAACAAGGTATTTTAAAACAAATTGATTCAACTCTTTTAAGCAGAAACATCTGTTAGCTTCTAGGGTCATTAAAGCCTTCTTGGGCACTCTGTTGGGGATAAGGGAAAAATGAAAGAGATCCAATGTAAAGGCACTAAGTCCATTTTTAAGAAGCTCATAAGCAATAATTTTATAGAACTGAATCTATTTAAAAGCACTACTAGGGGCATCTGAGTGGCTCAGTAGATTAAGCATCCAACTTTGGCTGAGGTCATGATCTCGCAGTCTGTGAGTTTGAGCCCCGAGTCAGGCTCTGTGCTGACAGCTCAGCTGTGCTTTGGATTCTGTCTCCCTCTGTCTCTGCCCCTTCCCAGCTTGTGGTCTCTCTCTCTCTCTCTCTCTCTCTCTCAAAAATAAATAAATAAATAAATAAATAAATAAGCACTAAAATAATTTAAAGCACTACTAAATTTCAGAGTACAGGATTCTAAATACTATAAAAGAATGTAAACTAAAGTTTATTTTTGTCAGAAGTGCAATGTGTGTTGTTCAAGACAGAAATCTACTTTTTCAGTTTCAGACTCTATAACTCCTGCTAAAATAAACATCAGTTTTATATATAATTTGTTAACTTGTGTCATCTGTACAGTAGATAACTAAATAGGCTGTGGTTTACATATTTCTTGTTATTTTTACTAAAAGCCCTCAACTCTTCCCAATTCATTAGACTTAGGGCCTAATCCATACTAGTTTTCATATTTTGAAGATCCAAAAATGAAATACAGTACTCATAAAGGTTGTCTGAGTCAATAGCAGAGAGGGCTCTGGATATTTAGAACAGCTCTGTGTATATAGGCAGGAGAAGGCATTTTATCTGACAACAAAATGAATGCCATAAAGCAGTTTTGTCGAGGATGGTCAATTTGAATGTTACCTTTCAGAATAAAATACAGACTTGCTGGCTTCAATGGATTCTTGAATACTGAGCTGAATATCATAGCTTGTAAGATGGTCTTCATCGGGGTCATCGTTACTATCCATGACTGGATACAAATTTGAAAGAGGCAATTTCTTATTATCAGCAAGCTATGCAGAACGGTATAGACAGTTAATGTGAAGATGCAAAATGAAAAACTAAAATGCATTCATCTTTCTTCATTTAACAAACACAAATGCAGTGAACATTTTAATTCGTATTATATATGAAGCCCATCCTAACCTTTGAAACCTTTAATTACCTGCTGTTTTGGTATTTGCATTTTCTGATTTTGGACTTCCTTTTCATTAATGGCTGCCATTAGGCTCATCAGAATACACTTTTTCGATGCTTCTGACTTACACTAATTTCAGCCCATCAGTTTTCTGAAGACACTGCTCTACACAGCACATTAGAAACTTGAACTAAGAAGAAGGAAGACAGAGATGGGAATAGAGAACGGTGAGCCTTTCACGTTCTTACCTTTTAATTTCACATCTGCTGTGTTTGCTTACTTGCTGATTTATTCTTTTCCTCACATCAGTAATGGTTTGAGTTGGCTGCCTTGAATTAAAGTTATTCTGTATTTGTGTTCAACCTCTGCTAACGACTCTATACTCTGTTCAAGGTAAGGGCTCTGACCCAGTCATCTCTCCACCCCTTGTGACTCTAGAAGGTGTTTGGTCCAGAAAAGCTTCTCAATAAACATTTGTTGAATTAAACTAGAGAGAATAAAATGTCACAAATGGAGTGCCCTTGCCTTTCCCTTAAGAAATTTAACAGAGCAAATAGAGAAGACATGAAGGAAACTTTAATAGAAGGAACTGAGATCTTCAAATATTGTTCTTCATGAGAAACTACTGTCTACTCTCACATATGAGGTGAACAGTTTCCAAAATTCCAGAACTTTAAAATAAGACAAGAGATAGGGTGGCTGGGTGGCTCAGTTCTTTAAGCGTCTGATTTTGGCCCAGGTCATGATCTTGTGGTTTATGAATTCAAGCCCCGTGTTGGACTCTGGCTGACAGCTGAGAGCCTGTAGTCTGCTTTGATTCTGTCTCCCTCTCTCTCTGCCCCTCCCCTGCTCATACTCTCTCTTTCTCTCTCTCTCTCCCTCAAAAATAAATATCAATAAATAAACATTTTTTCAAAGTTTTAAAATAAGACAGGAGAGGGCTAGTCTTACAAAAGCAGCTTTAGGCATTTGGAGAACTTCCTAACTGACTGGCTCATGGTTTTCTGGGTACTCTGGGAAATCTAACTCTATGGACTTGTGCTATCTGTGTTCCTGGCCATGGAAAGATCCTTTCTGATACCTTGGCAGAAGGGCATCCCTAATTGGTTAGGGATCCTCAGCTAGGGATGCTGGAACTGCTACTACATGGATAGGTGTGGTAAAGACCAGCTTTGTTAAGTGAGGCTTAGTTGTGGGAAATGCCAGCAGGTACATTAACCTGGAAAACAATAAGCAGAGTAAAAATGAACTCGTGCTTTCAAAGAAGAGTAAATAAAACAGAGGCTTCGGGGCTGATTTATATAATTTATTGATTTCTATTTCAACTCATCCTAATGCACTTTCTTGTTTCAACCAAATCAGACTCACCACAAATGGTCGGACAATATGTACACTACACAAATTTTCCTGGCTGAGGGACTCCAGCCAAATGTCCCCTAATGGAGCTGTACAGTCTGGCAGAGCGCTATGAATACCCCAAGGAAGCAACGTCTTTTTCTCATTTGCAACAAAGTGACTTTGGCCTGTGGGATTCCTGAAGTGAGTTGAGCATTTTTAACAAAAGGAAGTTAAACAAAAAGATGCCTAATTATTTAGTGTTTGGGATAATAAATTAGGAGAGATACCTTTTAGCAGCTAGTCTTCCAAACTTCTCCCGGAGTGGAAGGGTCTTAGGATTGGATTACTCTCCTTCGGGAGAGGTAAGAATACTATGGTGGCGATGTCCACGAGGCTTCCTGACTTGAACCTTCATATAGCTACTGTCTGGTCCCCATTTTTTGTTTTCTGGCTGGTTTTACAGGATAAGTTGTATGGTGTTACAGTCTAAGAGCATCATTTGTCCAAATTGAAGTAAGGACCATCTTAATTCCACCCCTAGACCAGCGACCACCATCTTGTGGTGTCCCTATTCATTCCCTGTGTAGTTCTGTCCATGACAAGCCACTGCTATTCACTGGCCCATCTTCTCTGAAGATAGACACACAAATGTAGATTATATCTCATTGGCTTATTTCTTCCAAATATCAAATTAAAGGAGTGTTTCTCATTACTATTGGGCCAGTCGCTCTGTCTTCTTGAGAAAGAAAATTTAGTAAGTGTAGAAAGAAAAATAGTTCTACGACTAGGTTTAATGATCAATATGAAATTATTTTTGATTCGTGGTACTTTATGAGCCAAGATGTATCATCTCTTTGAAATTTTACATTGTAGTGTGTCTTTCCAAAGAGAAAAAAAAAAAAACAAAATGGTTGTCCTTGGGCAATTTTCGAAACAGAGCTGATATTTACCACTTCTCATTGTTCAATTTTAAATAAGCTCAAACTTCTCCCCATGCTGATAGCTAGGGTGCCTGAGCTGTGGACATACTGCATGTGAACTCGCTGGCATCATTTTGATTGTATTTTTGTTGTTCTGCACCTGTGCCCTTACTATCATCTTGGAACATTAAAGAGAGAACAGTAGTGGTGTTGGGAGACTGCCCATGAGAGAGTAACAATATCCACCGAGTGTATTTCCTCACACGCTGATGTCTCAGTCTACTCGAAAAGCCAGGATGCACTCTAGGGGGCTTATTTGCCAAATATTGTCAAGTAGTATTTTATTTTTTATTAATTATTTATTAGTTCATTGTCTATCTCCTCCCCCTAGACTGTCACCCAATAAGATCAGAGAATTAGCCTGTATCTCCAGTGCCAGAGAAGTGCCAGCTCAAGGCTCGTGGTCTCTAAATGTGTGAGTGAATGAACGAATGAGTTAATAAAAAGCTACTAACATAAGCTAGGCCCTGATTTACTCTTAAAACTAACCATTGTATTCGAGTATGGAGTCTTTTTTCCAATGAGACAAACCTGATTGCCCTCTCTGTGCTTGGCTTCCTTTTTTTCACCTCTATGCTTCGATATCTTCTTCTTCACTCACAAGCCTCTCTGGCTGTTCCATAAGCACGGTCCATGCTACCTCCGGCCTGGCTCAAGACGTTACTCCTATAGTAGTAACCTGGCTGAGATTCTCCAGGTCCCCTCTGGCCTCCCTTAGCTGTGACTATCTCCTCTTCTATAATATTTTCCAATATCTGGATTTTTACTCTTCTGTATTTGCCTGGCAAATTCTTCACATATTTGCGTTCTGTTTTCTCACTTGGATTATTAGTTTTCTGAGGGAAGAAAATATCTTACTTTCTTTTTCTTTTCTATCTTTTCTCTCTACTTCTACTCCCAGTCAACCACGGCAAATGGCTCTTCTCAGTGGAAAAAAGTTGTTGACTCATTACGAGCAGACACACATCGAGTCCTTTGGACAGCACAATTAGATCATGAAGTTCGAGCTGTGGTATTGCCTGCTGCCTCTCTCACTAGTATCACTGTGGTGATAGGGAGGTTGCATGGCCCTGGGATTAGTAATGAGATCCAGACCCTTTTACCTATTTAAATCCGCAGCTCAGTTCTAACCCTGCTTGGAATTTGGACTTTCGGTACGGGAGATACCATAGCCTCCTTAAAGAACTGAGTTGATCTGTGAAAAGTTTTGCTTTTTATTTTTTGATGTCATTTTAACTACCATCCAGAAGAAAGTTATCTAAGACTCTTAACTGTTTTGTTTCCATTAAAACCGTAGGGTCAAAATGCTGAAGAAACCCCTACCGTGTCAAACAACTCATACCTTACACAAGCTGTCTCCAACCTTTTACTAACAGCCCAGGATGAAATAAAGATCTGTGTGCAAGTGCACTAAAGTGTCACAGAGACAATCAAAGAGCACCATTGGAATAGACCTAGAGACATCAAGATGCAATGAGAAGAGCAAAAAGAAGAGTTATGTGTATGTGTATCTCAAATTTAAAATGACCAGGATTCAATCCCAGCTGAAGGCTGGTAGTAGTCTATTGCCAGCCTTTATTTAAAATTCTTTAAATAAATCACCAACCAGGAATCTTAGGAAAAGCCAACTAATATTTTGACATCCTTTAAGACCTATTCACAAGTGCTCTATTTCTCAGTTTAATTAAATGACACTTCCTAAATAATGGTTTGCTGGTCTTGTCCTGGAGAAGCCCTCTAGTGAGATTTACTTATGTAAATACGTAGCTGCTTACAAACTAATTGAAACAACTGTGTTGGGCAATTAGCCTTTTCATTTAAAGCACTGGTTAACCATTGATATATGAATAAAGAATGGATAGATGAATGAATATGTATAATGGAATATTACACAGCCACACACCATTGTGTGATTGTGCCATTTGCCGCAATGTGGATGGACCTAGAGGCTATCATGCTCAGTGAAATAAGTCAGACTGAGAAAGTCACATACCACAATTTCACTCATATGTGGAATCTAAAAAACAAATACATAAACAAACAAAAAGCAGAATCAGGCTTATAAATACAGAGAACAAACTGATGGTTGCCAGAGGGGGTGAGGAAGGGGGGGGGCGGGGAGTAGAGAAGGAGTTACAGGCTTCCAGGTAAGGAATAAGTCATGGGCATAAAGGCACAGTATAGAGAATGCAGCCAATGACATTGCAATAGTGTTGCATGGTGACACATGGTAGCTACACTCCTGGGGAGCATCTCATAACATATAGAGTTGCTGATTCACTACATTGCACACCTGAAAATAATGTAACATTGTGTGTCAACTATACTGAAATTAAAAATATTTAAACAAACAAACAAAAAAAGTGCTGGTTAACCTTCCTTAAGGTCAAGAACACATTTGATGAAAGTAATGGCTTCTCTCTCCAGAAGGATGCATGTCAACTCAAAATTCTGCATAAAACTTTGGGGAATTCATGGAATCTCTGAAGCCCTGTCACATATCCCTCAAAAAAAAAAAAACAATCAAAATTTAGGGTTTCTAAGTGCTAAATGTATTATTCATATATCAGTAATTATTGGTTTATTTTACGGATGAGCCTAGTAAAATCCTAGATTTAGATAGTGGGAAAAGGGAAGTTTGGTGGTCATGTAAGTGTTGGAATATCTTTGGTAAGGGGCGCCTGGGTGGCTCAGGCAGTTAAGCATCCGACTTCAGCCCAGGTCATGATCCCGTGGTTTGTCAGTTTGAGCCCTGCGTGGGGCTCTGTGCTGACAGCTCAGAGCCCGGAGCCTGCTTCAGATCTGTGTCTCCCTCTCTCCGCCCCTCCCCTTATTAAAAATAAGTAAACATTAAAAAATTTTAAGAGAATCTTTGATAATAATAACAACTGTGATTATAATAATAGCCATACATTATTGAGCTAATAAGTAGAGTCTGGACAGATTATAGGTACCTTCATTTTTAAGGTCTTTCCAAAGCTGCAGAAAAACAACCCACAAAAAAAAAAAAAAGAAAGAAAGAAAAAAAGAAAGAAAGAAAACCACTTTGATCTTGCTCTTAACGGCCAGCTCTTAATGACAATAACTTCCAAAAATAAAAAGCAGCTTCCAGGGACACATAAATCTTTATCTTTGGCCCTCTGCAATAAGGCTTTATGTTGCTTAGGGTGGTCTAGGATGTCCTAAGCTTGCTTTCATTCTGTACTTTGTGTCTTGGAGTCTTAACATTAGTGTCCTTAAAAAGCGGATCAGCATACCAGTCAGTGCCTGACTGAAGTGGCCAGGAGGGTGGGATGGTGTTGCAAGGTAAGCTGCAGGAATGAACATGGGTACGACACCTCTTTGCATTGGATTCTCTACACTACCTCCAATCCATTTTCCATGCTAACACTGTACTGTTGATGAGTTTGTGGGTTCTAAACAGGGCTGGCTGTAAACAGCTCCCAGAGCGTACAATTCATTTCCATGCAAGGAAGGGCTTTGTGTCCATAAATATCACACTGCTCTCAGCATTTGTCTCCTCAGTGTCATTGGGTTGCATCAGTGAAAGACTTTGTCCTTTGCGGCTTATTGTCCCATCTTCCAGTGTCCCTTTCAAAGTGTCAACAGCACTATACTGGTCCCCAGTGCAGAACTAGGATTTCTTGGAATAGTCACTGAAGGTAGCTTGGGAGTGGACAAGATGGCAGAGGGCCTAACACCAAGTCTAGTGGATGGTAATGAGAGGGGATAAAAAAAGGGAAATAGAGTAAAATTTAGATTTCTTCAGTTTTATACACAGTCAGCTCAAATTCAATCCCAAAGGTAGTGCTGTGTGGAATGGGGGACCCTGAGACCCTGAGGCAATTTTCTCTCACCTTGAAACTGCTATGGTTTTTGAGGGATGTGTTCATCCACTGGAGGTCCCAGAAAGAGTCATCAGGATTTGTCCTATCAGAGGAAAGGCAATAGTTAAAGAGGGTTTTGAATTTTTGGTTTTGTCAGGAAAATATAGTTATTATATTCGAAAGAATGTTCCTTTTTATTTTCCTGCATTTTGACTTTTTATATGTGCAATTTTAAAGATAAACTGACATCAATATAAATAAAATTTTGTCATAACTTTGGTATTTATTGGTGGCTACACATTTTTGCTTTTTTTGAATCCGGTTAGCACAAAGTGGCAAATCAGATCAATGGCTTTGTGGGGCTGATTTCAGTGAGTTAACCAGTCCCCATGAGACTAAAATTCTCTGTCAGAATTGGGTTCCACCCCACGGACCCAGGTAACTGTATTTATAAGTAGTAAGTTACAGCAATTCCCTCTGTGTGGTGTAATCCTATCAATGACGGAGAACTAGACCAGTTCTTCCTCTGTAGCGTGACTTGCCCTGCTGATAAATTACACATGCACCCGCGGGCACACACACTTTGTCCAGGAAATGAGTGCTACCTTTGTTGACTCAAAGAGACCCAACCTGACGCTTTAGAAGAGTTCTAAGGAGGAAAAATGGACATATTCCTCTTGAGATCTACACGATCTAAGTATGATATCTTGTATGTGATAAGATTCACTAACTATTGGCTGAACAAATGAATAATTGAATAATCAAATAGACACTACTCTTAAAATTAGCAGATTAATGGATTCACCTTGTGTTTTGATGTCCTATGTTTTCGCAAGTTCACTTCCAGTTTTGCGGCTGCATTAACTGAGGCTCAGTTTCTAGGTAAAGAGACCAGTGACAAGGCTTGTCACACTTGTTTTGCTTCTCTCATATAACATTAGATATTTTTACTCTTACTATTGATTTCCACGTCAGATTCAGTTAAAACAGAGATGTAGAAAGATGTGTGCTAGTTCATGAAAATGATGCAAAGAACAAGAAGATCTAGGTTCATTAGTAGGTGGGTTTCTAGAGGAAGGTAAACGTAGAAAAGCAAAGAACAGAGGAAGCATGAGCCATGGAAAGGCAACTTATTAATAGATGTGCCCTTGTCACAAGCTAGAATGATAATATAATTTTTTAAAAGTCTTACCATTTGTTTATAATTCTAATTCTAGGCATCTATCTTCAAGCAATAATCAGAGATGTGGACAAAAATCTATATGTGAAAATGCTCATCTCAGCTGTATTTAGCTGCCGAAACATTAGAAATAATAGTGTCCAACATTTGTATAAGAAATTTGGATAAGACATTTTTGCATATCTAAGCAATGGAAAGCTATACAGTTATTAAAATTAATATTCTTAAAGAATATTTACTGCCAGAGATAAAGTGTCATATATGAGAATGATATTCATTTAATCAGATATGATGGCCACGTGGAAGGAACTAAAACTGCCTCTATGCAGCCAAAGCTTACAAAGCCTTCCAGAAAGCTGGCCCAGCATCTGGCTCATAGGCTGAGCCTTACAGGTCATGAGCTAGGTCACTTCCTGGTACTCCAGCGACCTTGGTGACTTTGAGAAGAGAGAAGTTTGCAGAATTTATAGTAAAGCAGGTGAAATCTGGTGGAGGGAGTTTCTTGGCTTAGAAAAGAACAGAAATCTGAAAGACTGATCCTTTTACTTGAGTCATCCAAGCACAGACTTTGTTACCTAAGTTATCCTATGTGTCTGCATGAGACCAAAATTTCATTTTCCACTAATTAGTGAGTGGCAGCTGTTGAGGAAAGTAAGGCCGCTTGTTGAGAATAAAATAGCTACATTTAGTTTATGCAGGTGAGTTTATGGTAAGTAAAAAATGTTTTGACTATATTAATTAGCTATAATAACAATAAAAATGAAATGTCCCTAGACCTTAATAAAAGTATTGTTATGTACTCTACATGTCTATATATATTCCTATATATTTGTAAATACTATATACATTGTATATATACTACTGTATATACATGTTCATTTGACATGACAGAAGTTCTGCCTGGGGCTCAAGTCAAATCTTTTCCTATTCAAAACTCAAACAATAATTAGCCATTGCATTTCTTCATAGTTTAGTTTGACATCATATACAGGCCATTGATTTCTTTCATGGGGAGACAGTTGGGTGTGGCAATTCAAACTTTGTTCAAAACCTGCCCACTGGATTAGCCGCTGCATTAACTGTGTCCAATGTGAGTAGTCAACAAGCACTATGTGTTATCATTCCATGGTTGAACTCCTCTGGAATGAGGAACTAGAATTCTAGGGGTTGTTTGGCAGTTTTAACTCAATTCCTCACCCTTGAATAGGAACTCTGACATATTCATTACTTCCTTCTTCTTCCTTTTCTCTAGAATCATCAGACTTCAGAGCTGACCATTAGGTAGCTCCACCTATAAATTCCATGTACAACAAGCCCTGCAAGTAATTGTCCAGCCTCAGCCCTCAACACCAAAGTGACAGGAAGCTTACTATATCCCCACAGAGCCCTTTGGTTAGCGTTAACAGTTAGGAAAAAAACATTTAAGTTGAATCCATCTCTTCAAATCATTATTCTATGATCCTAGTTCTATTCCTCAGAATTACACTGATTAACTGTCTTTCTTCTGCTACATGAGAGCCCTTAAATCATTCCCCAGGAAGGCTGTTAAGTCTCCAGTGAGCCCTCTCCTCTTGAGGCTGAAGAACTTTTCTTCTTGTGCCATGGGTTCACCTCCCTCCGCCATCTTGATTGCTTTCCTGTAAACACATTCATCATTCTTTTCTTTCTAAAAGTGGCTCTGGACCATGGGCTCTGATGGCAGCACACATCTGACTACAATAGGTGTAGTCAGATCAACACAACATTATGCAGGGAAGACCATCTCCTTTTTCCTAGACATTATAAATTGGTTAATTTAACCTAAGCCCAGATGAATTTGGAGACTGTCATGTTACACAGTTGATTTGGATCCCTATCGGCCCAAATTGTACATCTCATATTTTTTCTCACATCATTGCTGGGAAAGTCTGTTCAGGACTCTTTATTCAACCCTATTACATTTCTTTCTTTTCTTTGCTTTTCTTTCTTTTCTTTCTCTCTTTCTTTCTTTCTCTCTTTCTTTCTTTCTCTCTTTCTCTCTTTCTTTCTCTCTTTCTTTCTTTCTTTCTTTCTTTCTTTCTTTCTTTCTTTCTTTCTTTCTTTCTTTCTTTCTTTCTTTCTTTCTTTCTTAATAATTTGACCTTTATTCCAGTCTGCCAATATCTAATGCATTTTCTATCCCTGCAAGTATTGTTCTACTTACAGCCCTATTTGCATGCCTTCTATATGTCCATCTGCACTAGTAATAATGATAAATGTTGAACAGAAATTGGCACAGGACAGAGAGGACTTCAGGTTGACACTGATCTATTATTTAGCACTCTTCAAGAAAAGCTGTTTATCCAGTTACAAATCCTCTGAAATACATCACTGTCCAGTATTAACGTCTCCTTTTTGATAACAAGACCATCGTCAAGAAATACTGTCAAATACTTTGTTGAAATACAGATGCATAATGTCTATTACATTCTCCTTCTCTGACCCACCAGTTCTCAGTGATTATTTTTTTTTTTCTAAGGATTTTCAGACCATCCTATTCATTCATTCAAAAATATGTGTTCAGTGTCTGCTATGCTCCAGACATAGTGCTAGACACAAGACAATAGGATCCCTGCCTGCAGGGAGTTTGCTGCTTTTAAACAATGCATTCTAGACTTTTCCCCAGAAACAACACAAATCGCTCCCCTCCCTTCCAAGGTTTGGCAGATAGTCAAGCACATCCTCAATAAAGATTTGTTTTATTGAATTTGATAATTATTATAAGTAACATCTATTGAGTACTTACCTGTGACATGCATTATGCTCAGTAGCTTAGTTGATTCTGATATTTAATTTCTATAATACACTTTCCCCTATTTTACAGACAAGGAAACTGAGGCACAGATTTGTTGGGTAATTTGCTCAAACCTGCACATAATGGTGAGTGGTGGAGATGTGGGTATAGGTATAACTCCAACTGTTTGGCATTAGACACTCACATACTGTAACCAATGACCCATCTACTATAATAGAATTACTGAAAAGAAGGTCTCGTTTTGTATTCCAAATATTCATAAGTTTTCTAAGAGTTTAAGCAAACAATCAGCAAACCTACCAAACAACTTTAGTGGAAATGTAAATATTTTAGGTAAATTGTCATTTGAAAACAACTATTCCCGTAGAAACAACAGAAGTGTAAAATTACTTTATGACAACAATGTCCTCAGCACAAAGCAGTGTCGGGACTTCCTCGTCTATATCACTACTATTTCACAGAAATCATTTCATGTTAGATGTAGAACTTCCTTGGAAGTTATGTGTTCATTTAAGAGCCAGATGGGTGATGGTCACAGGTAAATTCTAAAGACTTTCCAATCTCAAGATTCTCTGATTTATTTTGCAGAAGCAAATTTCCAATTCTACTGAGTTCCTTTTTTCTCATCTGATTTAAAAGAACTTAAAGGAATTTTTTTATTTGAATATAAAGCATCCATCTTTTGCTATAAGTAATAAAAGAGCCCTGATAGAAATTTTTTATAATTATTCACAAAAATCATTTAACGTTTTACTCAGAAACCAGAGCCATCTAAGGCCCCTCTGGGATTCCAATGGTATATATTGGCACTTCCTATAGGCATATTCATGCTTGGTCTGTTTTTCTCATGATATTATTATGCTTCGTGACTATGCCATCGAGTTAATATTCTATAAACAGACAAAAACAACCCTGCTTATATTCTGTGATTTAAAAGGCCTCAGAAAGGCAAACCGACAGGTGATCAATTGGAAAGAAAAGTAATGAGAAGCTACCACAATATGTATTTCCATCTGTTTAAAATATTCCCGATACTAAACTACTTCATAAGCTACTTGGTGAGGTACAGATCAAATATTTCATAATCTCACCTTTTGGAATGATCGTCTTGTCATTCTTATCCAGGGCCTTGCCTTCCTAAACCAGAGGAAGTGCCTTGGAGCCAATGTGTTCCTCTGTGTATCTAAAATTAAGTACCCAGTTGGTGGTTAAATAAAGATCTGACCTTGGGCAACTGAAACATAAGCGGTTCCTGGCACACTATGAAGTATTACCCATGACTTCTCTAGACTCTCATCAAAAGAAACATAAACCCACAGAGGTATAATAAGATTATCTGTGTCCTGATTGGTTCAAAGATTGCTCATGAAAACAAATCATCTGCCAACCCAGCTGCGATGAAGTTTCCTGCAGAGGGAACGAAGTAAAATCACTTCAATAGAATTTTTTGTCTTTTAAAATTAGTTGTTCAAGTGACAAAATTGTGAGTCTGTGTGACTGCAGATCTATATCCACTTGTAATCAATTTTAACACACACTGCTTCTCATTCTTCGTCTTTTAGACCCCTGTCAAATCTCACTAAATACAACCATCTTAGTGTATGAATTTACTGTCTTTCATTTCATTTGCATTTAATACCTGCCAGTCTGATAGTCAGATGGGGATACAACATTCAGTGACACCTAATCTAATCAGAAATGCTTAGGTCAGGTTGTAAACACAGATACGTCTAAAGAAAAGTGAGCAGGAGATGTAAAGCAAGAAGAAAATCAGGATTTTAACTGGGGAGGGTTGTTCATTTTCTATTTTAAAAAATCCATTAAAGTTGAATGTCTTGCTGATTTTCTGATGAAAATAATCTGCCTTCAGTTTGTTTTGACATGGCTATCCTGGGATTAGCTCAGGCCACTGTCAGCATTCACAA